TTTATTTCTCCTACATTTATGAAGGACAGCTTTTCCAGGAACACTGTTCTCATTTGGCAGTTTTTCCTCAGTATTTTAAATGTATCTTTCCATTCTATTCTTGTCCTTAATGTTTCTGCTGAAAAGTCTGCTTCTTGGTGTATTGTAACTTGCTTGTGTTTTATTTGCATGTTTTTTCTTGCTGCTTTTGGGATTCTCTCTCACTCTCACTCTTGCTCTCACTCTCTTCTCTTTTTAAATGTTTTCTAGTTTGATTATTATGCTTCTAGGATTGAATCTTATTGGTGACCTTTGATCTTTCTGTACCTGTATATTTATACATTTTTCCAGGTTTTGAGAGTTATCTTCTATTGTTTATTTAAATAAGCTTTCTACCCCATTTCCATTTTCTATTCTTTCTTAAACTAATTGACTCAAACATTTGTTCTTTTGATACTGTCTCATAAGTCCTGTTAGTTTTATTTCTTTTCATTCTTTATTTTTCTCCTCAGTATTTATGTTTTCAAATAACCTGTTTTGTACTCATATATTAGTTTTCTCTGTTTTGACTAATTCTGCTTTTCATGCTCTCCATTGCATTTTAAAATTTCATTTATTTTATTCTTCAGCTCCAGGAATTCTGTTTGATTTTTTTCCATTATTTCAATCTCTGTTAAATTTATCATTCTGGTCATTTATTATTTTTCTCATTTCATTGATTTGTTTCTCTTTGTTTTCCTTAAGTTTGCTGAGCTTCCTTAAAAATTATTTTGAATTCTTTGGAAATGTAAATATCTCTATCACCCTGGAGTTAGTCATTTGCTCTTTTTGCACTCATTTTGTCTGTTTGGTGACATCCTGTTTCCCTGATTATTCTAGATCATTTGGCCATGTGATGATGTCTGTTCATGGAATAAGTATTTACTCTATACTTTGTAGTCTGACTTTATCTTAAAATGCCATTCAACAATAAGCCTGTCTAGGAATTCTGTGCAGGTCACTGGTCTGGTCCCTAAGCCTGTTATAACTACAGCCTTTGCAGCACTAAGGAACATTCTAAGCCTAGAACTGCCATGGTCAGTGCAGTGTTGAGCTGGAATCCCATGGTTGTTGAGGTGTGCAATGAAGGTGCGAAGGCTGAGGCGAGAGGATTACCTGAGTCCAGGGGTTCGAGACCACCTGGGCAAATTGGCAAGACCTCATCTTTATGATAAGTAAAATATATTTTTAAAAAAGCTGAGCATGGTGGTGCATGCCTGTAGTTCCAGCTACTTGTAAGGCTGAGGTGGAAGGATCACCTGAGTCCAACAGATCCAGGCTGTGGTGGCTGTGAGTGTGCCACTGTGCTCTAGCCTGGGTGACAGAGAGAGACGCTGACTCAAAAAAAGGATAGTCCATGACTGCTAATGCTAAGATACAGCACTAGGGTGCACCCAAAGCTGAAGCCTGCAGCTGATGAGACCTGCCTGTCACTTGGGGTATTCAGAGCCCAAGACCACTGTAGTTGCCTGACTGTGATGTGGGCTAGAACTCAACTCCATCTTGTAGCAGCTATGAGTTCTTGTCTGGCACTTGGGTGGATCTAGAGGCTTAGTCTCCAGAATGCAGCCAGAATTCAGAGGCTTTAGGGGTCTTCCTGGTGCTAGGTTTTACTGCAGTTGGTCCAGTGTTGGTACAGTTTTGGGGATCAAGGCAAACTGCTACGCTCAATTCTGTCTAAGGTTGCAGGAGGGATGACAGGGATAATGTAAAACTGTCATTTCTACCCTCTTCAATGTGTTTTTTTCTTATTATGCAATAGCCAGGTATTGTGATCTCTTAATTGGTTTCCTTAGCTCTTGCAAAGGTGTTTTTGCATGTGAATAGTTGTTCAAACGATGTTTTTGTGAGGGAATAATAATTCTCACTGGGGAATTCTATTCTGTTCTCCTGCTCCACCTTCTCCTCTTCCACTTTTAAAAACTCTTGTGATTACATTACTTTCACCTAGATAACCCGGGTTAATATTTCAATTTTTAAGTCAACTGATTAGCAACCTTAATTCCATCTACAATTTTGATTACCCTTTGCCATGTAGCCCAATATGTTCACAGGTTCTGCAGACTAGGACATGAACATGTTTAGAGGGTCAATATTCTGTCTACCACACAATTATTAACTAATTCTCACTTCTCCTGATACAATACCAATAATAACTTGTCCCTACTTCTTTAACCCTCCTCAGAATATTTTAGCAAAAACCCAAATCTTGCAATAGATACTTTATTTCTATCTTTTTGTAGGATGGTAATCTCTGGCTTCTCTAGAATGTTCTCCCTTGCTGCTTTGAATCAATAAATTTGATTTTGTCACTTTTTTTTGACACTATCTGTACAATATGCTTCAATCATAATCATGGATAGCCCAAGATTTCTTTTAAAAAAAGAATTTTAAGGAAGTACCTGGCAGAAAATAAACATTTCATTTATATAGTGCATGTGAAAATAATAAATGCTACAAAATTTCACTTCTAACTGTTTCTACTTCAGTTACTAACTTTTAGGAGGAGCAGAGTATCTTCTTGCTCCTCGGGAGCTCTTATCAACTTTAAGGGCTCCAAGTTACCATTTTTTCCTGCATTTCCAAGTATTCAGAAGTAAATCCGACATCTAACCCCACCTATACCAGAACCTACTTTTCCAGTCTTGGTGTGGCACTGTCCATTTGAGCTGAATCTCACAACTACTTCTGTCCCATTGCTTTTGGTACCCTGAATTTTGTAATTCAATCCCTTTTCCCATATGTCCTTCACTCACTTCATGCTCCCCTCTGAATATGAAGGACTTTCTATCAAGTTTGACCAAATTTTCTTTTATGAAATATTTACATACCAAAAAAAAGTGCATTATTCCACTCAAAGGTTAGGTTTCAAGAGCTGAGTTGATTTCAACAAGTACTATATAATATAATGATTTATGAACAGTTCTCCTTGTAAAAATAGCATTATGCAGAAACTCTTCAAAACTTGTCATACTCTTCCCTTGTGGTTTTGCTTTCTGAAGTTTCAGTTACCATGATCAACTGTGGTCTGAAATTAGGTGAGTATAATACAAGTTATTTTTAGAGAGAGAGTAGCCACATATAGTATAGTGTAATAATAGTTCTATTTTATTATTAGTTGTTATTGTTCAGCTCTTTCTAATTTATAAGTTAAACTTTATCATAGGTTTGTATGTATAGGAAAAAATTATAGTATATATAGAGTTCAGTACTACCTGTGGTTTCAGGTATCCACCAGGAGTCTTGGAATGTATACCCCATGGATAAAGGGAAATTATTGTATTTCATTTTGATATATAATAGGATAAATAATTCCTTTTTATTACTCTCATGGAAGACCAGAACAGCAAATTAACAACTAAAAACACACTCTCCAGATCCTCATGTACTGGAAAGTATGCTTACCCTTTAAAAGAAAGGGTATACAAGAGGGTACATCATTTCTTGTTGAAGAAATCTTGAACTCTCCTGTAAGAATAACTTGGACTTTAAAATATAAGTCCATATGGTGTTACTCCTTTGCCTTCACCTAGCCTCTTGCACCATCATCTTTCTCACTGTCCTGTATAGCTCCCCTGAGGGGAGAAACAAATCTTCCCATTTGATAGTGGTAAGTCCTTACAACCATCCAGCCACAGTCAACACCCATTTCTACACACACACCTTACCAGAGCTGGGCTACATTTGTGTTCTTTGTTATTCTCACTGCCATTTTTAGGGGTCAATAAATTGTACTGTAAACTGTGCTATAAAGCTACTGTACCCAGAGGACAAAAAACTTAAGTTACCTAAAAGGGAGAAATCCAAGATATTGTGGAAAGTGTCATAATAGTTGGAACAGAATCTCCAAAAGCATTGTCTTTGTGTATGTATCAGGACAACTATCATCTACAAAAGAAAATGAATGAGCATGGTTCCACTAGGAAATACATTTTTATTCAATTTGAGATATTCTACCCTGTATAATATTTGAGGTGAACTACCTGCACTTTCATTGAAAGCTATTCACTTTATTAACAACCTTCTAGCAACCTTGTTGAAATACATACATTTCTGGTATCTTTAATAGAAAGAGGCCTTTGGGGCTCTGAACAAAATGTCCTCAATCTTGAAGGCTCTTACATTATTTCCTTGTTAAATGTTTGACTTTACATTTTCTAATTATGAACACAAATCTGAAATTTGGGAACTAATTTTTAAAAAATGTTTCACAACAGTCTCTAGTCATAGAAAAACAAACTCTATTTTGACCACAAATTGAAAATGTGTCCTAGAAATAGTTAAGATCTTCAGAGAGGAGTGACTCAAATAGAAGATTGGATGAGAATATTTTACTTTCCAAACACTTTAAATATTCAGCAGTAAAGCCAAAGCATAGAGATAATTAATGTCTGGGGACAAGGTTCCCACAAGATACATCCCCAAGATGTATGGTCCCTGGATTATACAATGAAGTACAGTCTTACTATTCAAGTTATATTTATGATCACCAGATCATATTTAATCCAAAGATGTGATAGAAAAAGCTATACAATGGTTTTCTACCTAAACCACTGTCAACTGTGGATGGAGATGTGACTACCTCCTTAGAACCAAACCAACTTTTTGTTTTTCATCTCATTAATAACACATTGAAGAGGAAGGAAGGAAGATTGCATTATTTTGAAGAGAAAGTGATTATAGAGCAGAACACATGGTATTTTAAGGTAGCCCTTATATTGGAAAATGTGGGATTATCAGAATAATAAAAACAAGGGTTTCTTATAATAGGACACTATTGTCTAAATTCATCAAGGATGTAACAAAATGAACAAGTTGAGTATCTATAGAATTTTATGTAGATGGTTTACTCGCTGATCAGCAGCTTCATAAGTGTATCTGTTTGACTAAACCTGTGAATACTTGAATTCCTTTGGTGTTCTTAATTTCAAAATCTTTAGTTGGATCAGCAGAATAAATCAGTAAAAGATAATACAGAGCATATTTATTGATTTATGTTGATAAATGATTCATTGTTCAATACAACTTGCATTTTAAATATTTTTTCACATAGACATTGCCTTCAAATAAAATAGTCAAATATGTATCAGTCTTAGTCTTTCATTTCAATTCAAATAAAGACTCGTAATGATTCACCATACTACATAATTTAACTTTTTGGCTGGTTTCTCTCAATGTTTTCTTTAGTTCAGTGAGAATTCCTGAGATATGGAGAGAGAGAATGCAACATCACTGGAAGATTTTATCCTCCTGGGGCTCTTCCCTGATTACAGACACCCCAGCATTCTTATCTCCATCATCCTTCTCATCTACCTCATTGCAGTAGTAGGAAACGCCACTCTGGTCCTCCTGATATGGGTAGAATCTCGTCTCCACACTCCTATGTACTTCCTTCTAAGTCAGCTCTCCCTCATTGACCTGGTCTATGTTTCCAGCACAGTCCCCAAGATGACCATTAACTTCTTCTCTGGGAGCAGAACAATATCACGTGTTGGCTGTGGCACTCAGATGTTCTTCTGCCTGATGCTAGCAGATGCAGAATGCATCCTCTTGACCCTCATGGCCTATGACCGCTATGTGGCTGTGTGTAATCCTCTGCGATATCCAACTATCATGAGTTCCAGGATCTGCCTGCAGATGGCTGTTGGGTCTTGGATTGGAGGTGTGTTGAATTCCTTGGCACAGACTGTTTACACAATGCATTTCCCCACCTGTGAGAAAAGGGAAATCAGCCACTTCCTCTGTGAGATGCCAGCTATCCTGATGCTCTCCTGTGAGGACACATCAGTCTACCTAAAGGTGGTGATGGTGTTGAGCACAGTGTTTATTATTGTGCTGCTGTCTCTCATTACAGTTCCTACATTCGTATCTTCCTCACTGTCTTCAGAATGAACTCTCCTGAGGGAAGGAACAAAGCTCTGGCCACATGCACTTCTCACCTGACAGTGGTGAGTCTCTACCTAGGGCCAGGCATAGTGGTATACATGACGCCTGGCTCCTCCCACACCCCAGAGCTGGATCAAGGTCTCTCCGTGTTTTCCACCATCCTCATCCCTATGCTGAACCCTCTCATCTACAGTCTGAGAAACAAGGAGGTGGTGGAGGTGCTGAGGAAGGTCCTGGGTGGAAGTTGGGTCATCAAATAAAATTAAAAACTCTCAAGGTTTTGATAGTATACTATTCATGCAATTTGATATGGTCCTGGACTAAGCTTGGGCTGTCTCAGCATTATTGATAGTTTTACAATATCTGAAAACAAAAATAGAACTTTCTTAACTATACTTTTTATGACTCTTGTTGATAAGTATATTTTGCATTAAAGACAAATAATTTATGACAATATGAATTGCATTCTGAAGTGTTTGAATGTTAAATGCTATGGTTATTTAAATAAACACATTAAAGGCAATCAAAACTTGAAACAAACATATGTAGCTTCAAATGAAGAAATATATCCATGAGTCACTGGGCAAAGACAAACATTTTTTGCCAAACAACCCCTTTTCAGGGAGGAAGTAAGAAGAGAGTCTCAAATTTGGGGGGAGGAGACTATCAGCTTTAGTCCTGATTTGTTACTTTTAGTTGGGTGACTAAATGGTTCACTTAACCTCAGCGAATTCCAACTTTCCATCTACGAGGTGAGTACAATAATGACTTATACTCTTCTTACAGCTGTGTGGAATTTAGTCAGAAGATTTACGAAACCGTATGCTTATAATTTCTATTTAAAAGTTCTCTGCCAACTCTTTCTGTGATATTTACTAAATAATTTTGTTTTTCTGAGATCAGGCACTTTCAGGGTGGTGTGGCAGTAGATGTCAGCATAAATTATTTAGCTTTTCTGATCTTCACTCTCTTCATATAAAAAAGGACATCAATATGTCTGACTTTCCAAATGCAATACTGATTTGAGAAAGAATTGAGAAAATTTCTTTGTAAAAGCCAATTGTGAATTACAAAAAAATTATTGCACTAATTCATATATATATGTATTAGTTATTATTGCACTAATACATATATATATATATATAACATAAAATATTCTATTTTAACCACTGGAAAATTCAATTCATAAAGTAAAATGCATGTGAGATCACCATAATCATTTCTAAGTAATCGTACAATTCAGTGGAATTACTTACAATCATACACACCGTTATGTAACTATTCCCTCTCTCTGTTTCCAAATCCTCTTCACCATTCCCAACAGGAGCTCTGCAATCAATTAACAGTAACCCCATACTTCTCCCTCTCCCACCCCTGTAACCTCTAATCTACTTTCTGCCTCTATGAATTTGCCTATTCTAGATATTTCATATAAGTGGAATCATACATTTGTCCTCTTGTGACTAGCTTATTTCACTTAACATAAAGTTTTTCAAGGTTCATCCTTTATTCTCTGAATAATATCCAATGTCTAGCTATCTATCTATCTATCTACCTATCTGTTACATTTTGTTTTCCCATTTAACTGTTGATGGACACTTCGGTGGTTTCTAACTTTTGCCTTTTGTGAATAATGCTGCAATGAACATTGGTGTACAAATATCTGTTTGAGTACAAAAAAAGAACAAAATCATGTCCTTTGCAGCAACATGGATGGAACTGGAGAACATCATCCTAAATGAACTAACTCAGAAACAGAATACCAAACATCACATGTTCTGTTATATGTGGGAGCTAAATGACCACAAAGAAGGAAACAATAGACACTAAAGAGGGAAAGGGGGAGGAGGATTAGGAAGGATTAGGGAAATTACCTACTGAGTATAATATTCACTACCTGAGGAATGGGTCACCTGAAGCCCAATCCCTACCACTACACAATAGGTCATGTAACAAACATGCACTTGTACCTCCTGAATCTAAAGTAATTTTACTGAGGAATAACATTTTATTGAAATTTAATATACATACAAACATTTTGCTGTATTGCAAAGTGTATATTTCTGTGCAACCAGCACCCAGATCAAGAAACAAAACATACTAGCACCTCAGAAGGTGCCTCACATTTAATTCCAATCACTACCTTACCGAAAGGACAGCGCTATCCTAACATCTAAGTTATATTGATTAGTTTTGCCAGTTCTTTAAATGCATATAATGAGAAACATCCAGTATGTCCTTTAGAAACTACTTGCTTTCTTTTACAACATCATCTTTTGAGATTTTTCAATATTGTTGAAGGCAGCTATGATTTACACATTATCGTTGTTATATAATATTCCATTTCATTAGTATATCACATTTTATTTTATTTTATTTTATTTTTTTGAGTTGGAGTTTCACTCCGTTGCCCAGACTGGAGTGCAGTGTCTGCTCCCGGCCACCACAGCCTCGACCTGCTGGGCTCCGGCGATCCTTCTGCCTCAGCCTTCCAAGTAGCCGGAATTACAGGCATGCGCTACCACACCCGGCTGATTTTTTGATTTATTGTAGAGATGAGGTCTCGCTGCCCAGGCGGGTCTCGAACTCGCGGGCTCAGGCAATCCACTCACCTCAGCCTCCCAAAGGCGCGGGATTACAGGCTGAGCCACCGAGCCCGGCTTGATTTTTGATTTATTGTAGAGATGAGGTCTCATTAAGTTGCCCAGGCGGGTCTCGAATCTGCAGGCTCAGACAATCCACTCACCTCAGTCTCCCAAAGCGCGGGATTACAGGCTGAGCCACTGAGCCTGGCAGTACACCACATTTTAAAAACCCTTTCTACCATTGAGGGACATTTGTGTGGTTCCTGCTTGAGGATATTACTAATAGTTCTATCATCTATATTCTAGCACAGGTCATTTAGTGAACCTTATATTCATATTTCTATGGGAATTTCTGAGTCATAGAGTACGTTCAGCTTTAGAAGACAGTGCCAGGCTGTTTTTTAAAGTGACTGTACCAATTTACACTCCCGCCAGCAGTCTCAGAGTAATTTGAGGGATTTTCAGTAGAAAAGAGACAAAATCTGACTGAATATTCTGGTCTGTGAAAATGCATTGACTCTTGAAGAAATCGGGGCCAGAACAAGGTGAGGTGAGTGAGGCATTCAATGAAAGTACAGAATTTAAGGAAGCATCTACAACCTAGTAATCAATATAAATGACATTTTAATACAATATTTCGAAAAGGTAATCAGCGAACTCTTGCCAGCAGACTCATGCCTGTTTTTGTAAATAAAGTTTTATTGGAACCAGAGCTAGCTTTAATGTGAAGTCAGTGAGGGAGAGTCATATAAGTGCAGGGGAAGACCTTGTATTTATTTCAAATTTGAATATTTTGTTTATCATTTATTTTTACATTAATTTTGATTTTCTAAAGTGTTTCATTAAATTTTGCTTAACTTGATTACTGAGCTTTTGGAAACTCCCTTAGATTTTAGGACTTAGGTGAATAAATATCTTTCTTGCCTTACCAGAGTTCTGGCCCTGATAGAAATGACAAGGTCTTGAATACGGCAGGGATAGAGGTGACAGATAAAAGCAAACAGGAGAGGATTTAGGAAAGAAACGGGACTGGAGTTGTGCAGTGTGTATTAATTCTGTCAGGCTTGGAACTGGCCTGAGCTGTTCTACTGGAAAAAGAAATGTACCCTCAAGTCAAGGTACAAAGTGACTGATAAATGGTGTCGTTTTGTAACATGGGTCTGAGGACTGTTGGGTGTGGTGTGAGCTACTCTGACAGCATTGTTTATTGATAACAGTGAGAATAAAGATTTGCAATGCTTGAGACTCCCAGAGGGCTCTGTTGTCCACTGACTAGCTATGTAGCAAGAATATGCCTTCAGGACAGGCAGAATTAAGAAACACCAGCAGTTCTTCTTTTTCTTCTCCTCCTCTTTCTCCTCCTCCTCTTTCTTCTTCATGTCCTTCTTTATCTTCTTCATCTTCCTCCCCATCCTTTTTTTTCTTCAAATAAAAAAAAAATAGAGATAAAAAGCAATGACAACAGAAACTCCATTTCAGCTCCCTAGTCCAGTGGGGTTTCATGCACACATCAATGGTTCATGACTAGAACAGAAAGTGCATCCTGTGTGACCCTTAGAGGAGGGATGGTTGGAGTTTGCACCTAACTTCTCTATATTCAGTGCTTTGAGGCAGATTTTGGCTGTGATGCACATCTTTATTTTAATGTGGTTATGATATTGTGTCCTTCTGCAATAAACGGATTTGTAAGCATTTTAGATCCTGCAAGTCTTTATGAGCTTGAGTAAAAAATCTGATGCAGTATCTTCCACAAATTGTGCTGGAACAATCAAATAGCCACATGCAAAAGGTGAATTTCTCAGCTTGTACCATATACAAAAAAAAACCCACAAAAGCTCAAGATGGATCATGGTTATAAAACTGCATAATTTCTAGTAAGAACATACCTTTAAGATTTTGGGTTAGGCAAAGATCTCTGAATTAGAACATTAAAAATATTCACCAAAAACAAATTAAAAAATTATGCCTCGTCAAAATTGTTTTTAAAAAAGCTTTTCAGAAGACTCATATGATCCAGTCATTCCACTCCTAGGTGTTTACCCAAGAGAAATAGAAAAAGTATAATAATATGAAGTACATAAGCCAGACAAAGAAAAAAATACCGCATGTTCTCACTTGTATGTGAAATCAAAAATAGTGAAACTCATAGAAAATCAAAAATAGAAACTTGTGAAATGGTGGTTTCCAGGGGATAGGGATTTGGGGAAAAGAGGGAGATGCTGGTCAAAGGGTGCAAACTTTTGATATAAGATGAATAAGTCCTGGAGATCTAATGTACATCATGGTGACTATAGTTAATAATAATGTACTTCACACTTGAAATTTACTGAGAGAATAGAATTAAGGTATTCTCACAAAAAATAGTAACAATTTGAGGTGATGGATATGTTAATATGACTGTGGTAATCATTTCACAATTTATATAAAAATT